CAATTAAGAGAAACTTATTTAAAAATCCATGAAAAACTCCATATTGGAGATGCTCTTATGTCTAAGATTCCAAGCTCTCGAGGAATACGTTAAGGTTTATGTTTCTTTTAACAACAAAAAAGAAACTTAACAAAAATGTGTTAGTAATCCAAAAAAAATCAATACCATATATGCATAGTTTCCATTTACTCTAATAATCACAGTTATTTTGTATTATATTGTTGTTTCATAATTGAGTGAAATAGAAAGTTATTTTGAGATAAATGTTTCCCAAAATTGATTCTGGAAACATGAATACTCATATTTCATGTTTAAAAGTAAAAGTAAAAATGAGATCCAGGAAGAGGAGTATTTATACTTATACTTACTCTTATTACATAGTCAATTAAGTACTCCTTGGCTAAAGTCTCTAGCTGGATTAGGGTGTCTCAAGATCAGTGGATAAAAGGAAAGTCTCAAGTATTTTAATTCAAAACAGTCTCCATCTTATCTTAAAAAACAGAGGCAATTTGATCTTCTTCTGTGTGGTTCTGAGAGAGAGAGGGAGAGCTAGTGAATATAAGACAATAGGTTTAATCAAATCATAAATAGAAAGAGAAGAAGAAAGGATATAAAGAGAATAGATTGGAATCAAAACCAAACAAAACAAATTCCACTTTGATCGGTTCAATTATTTTGTCCAGTCCTAAAAGAAACCAACCTTTTTATGTCTGATTAAGTCCTTAAAAGAGTTATAATCAAGAATGTGTAAAGTATGGAAACTGAAGTTGCTATTTCTTATGCTTCAATTATTCCTTTTGACTCAACATAGTGTTGAATCAGCCTCTGTGATTAGCTATCTTCCTGGTTTTGAGGGTCCTCTTCCTTTCCACCTTGAAACTGGGTCTGTTTCCTCTTCTACTTCCTCTGTTTTTTCAATATTCATTACTACAATTAACACAAACTCAAATGAGTTTAATAAATCTTTGTTTGTTTCTTATGAAAAAGCTACATTGGTGTGGGTGAGGAAGAGAAAGTGCAACTTTTCTACTACTTCATAAAATCAGAGAACAATCCTTAAAAAGACCCTCTTCTTATCTGGTTAACTGGAGGACCTGGATGCTCTTCTCTCTCCGCTCTTGTTTTCGAAATCGGTAATTTCAAGAAAAAGAAAACTGAGAAAGATTTTAATTGATTCTCTAAATTAACTTATTTGGTTAAGTGCAGGGCCTTTGACTTTCAAGAATGAGGGTTATAATGGAGGTTTGCCTTCTCTTGTCTCCACTTCATATTCTTGGACAAAGGTAACTAGGCTTGTGTTTTCTTTCTCGGTTATATCGGTTGCAACATTGCTGAGTTTTTTCTCAGGAAGCTAGCATAATATTCTTGGATCGACCTGTTGGTACTGGCTTCTCTTACTCAACAACTCTTCTTGCTGAATAAGCCTAGTGACTCAGGAGAGGCAAAACAAACTTATGAGTTTCTTCAAAAGGTTCGAATATTGCATCAAC